ATTGTATTATATTTGATAATTCCATTAAAAAAAAGAACTAAAGTATTAAAATATTTATAATTATAAGTAAACATTTATTTACTTTTTATTAATTTTATTTACCAATGCAGAGATATCAAATTAATGCATCAACATGTGTTGATTAATACGACGTATTCGTTTTTTGCGATCTGTCTGGAACTCGTTACGGGGTTATCAAAAACCACTCCACAGTTTTTATCACCTTTTTTCAATTTTTTTATTGACGTCAATATGGAGGCAAGAATTTATTATAATATAATATTTTTTAGTGTTAAACATTTAGTGAGAGTATAAAACCAAAATAATCAGTACAAGTGTGGTGTGTGTGGCTTGCATAAAATACATGCCTCCAAGTTCTTGTGGACTTTGAACTTTGAATTCAACTCATCACTAAAAAAATTTATTTTTCATCTATTTAAATATTTATTAACAACAAACACTGCTGCGACAGCCAAGAAATAGTCTGCGTATGTACTGCAGTACAAAAATAGAAGCACCCATAGAGCCAACGAATTTTTGCTTAGCACATGCATACGTTTATATGGGCTAACGATTGTCGTCGTTTATCTGAAAATAAAAGTGAGTTTATTATGCGTATGTGAAAGAGACCGAACAAATTTCAATAGGATCTTATCTGATCTAATCTTAAGTACGCTTTCAAAAGAAAGATTAGTGGAAACTGCGTGCCACGCTTTGCGTTTAATAACATGCGGATTCTATAAAAAACTCTAATGTCGATTGGATTTGATCAAATTAGTGAGAACATAAGATCCACTACTGAAAAAATCCTATCGTGTGAATTTCACATACACTTTAATGGCTAAGAGAAACGCTGAAACTTATCACATGAGTGACATGAAACTTTAAGATAACAGATATGATATGTGAATGCTATAATTAGATCTAGAAATTTAATCTTATTTTTTGAAGTAAAAGTTTCAAAATTATGTGCATAATGATCTCAAATAAATTTAGTGATTAACTTGTTTAAATTTTTATACGAGTACTCAAAAAAACATATGCATTACTTTCACAACTATGAAGAAGCACATATGAGTATATGATGATATTTTTAACGTCGAGAACTCTCAATGGACACTTGGGTGCTGTTTCATTTACTTGCCTATTACATCTATATGCACTCCTAAAAAAGCACCCTTAATTTCAGACTTCGCTTCAACGAAATTAAGGCCATTTTCCTTAACTTCGTTCTAACCTTAAAACTGAATTTTGTATGGAAAAAACAATTTAATTTCGCTGAAACGAAGATGAAATTAAGATTTTTGCGAAATTAAGATTTTTGCGAAATTAAGATGTGTCTGAACATGGTATTATCATTTAAAAAGCACATACGATGATATTTGTAACGTAGATGAAGTCACTGGCTTTTATCTATTTAACTAATCTACAAAATTTATGCACTCCTAAAAAAAGCACCTACGAGTTTTTTTTTTGAAGCTGAGTAGGTACGTACCTGCTATCAACACGATTATCAATATTTGTAAAACTATACTATCAAAGATAAAAAAATATAGTATATTTTAAATTTATAATAAATTGGCCTAGTTCGTTAAGATATGAGTACATATACCACGTACGTATAAAATTGTTGGTTATATCAAAAATTTTGACACATATTTAATTGATTGGACTAGAATGATAAAATATATATTTAAATACTTGTATTAATAGCCTTTTAAATCCACCATTTACAATATTTGCCGAAGTTTTTGGAAACCATAACAATAAAGGTATCATAATAGACGATCACTATAAATATTAATAGGTCGACGACACCGCAATAATAGCGATTAATAAAGGATTACCTGTTTCGTAGTCCTGATTTAGCAATACTGTGTCAGTACTATATATCTAACATAAATGTCAGTCAAAACTTTATATGATCAGTTAAAGATAGATTATTTTATAATATGGATTATTTAATAACCATTAAAGTTTTTGAAAAAATAATGATTTCTCGCATTGATTTTGTTATAGTGATGAGGTTTATTTTTCGCTTGATGTATAGGATATGTTAACAAACAAAATTATCGTATCCGGAGCAATGAAAAATCACTACTATTTCATCCAGAAATAGTTACTGTGGTTTGAGCTAGTCTGGAAAGTCACAAAGCGTCTACTCAATTTAAAGACAAAGATGTGGAGGATTTGTGGTTTCAACATTTGTGGCACCAAAAGCTACACAAGTTCTGTTTTGCTTGTGTTGCATGAGAAAGTTGTCAGATGTATAATATCATATTTTGGTGATGTAAATTGGCAATTAAGATCATGTGATCTGTTACCACTGGTTTTCCTTTGCATGGTTACGTACCATATATCATGGGGAGAATCTTCAGAATTCGATAATTTAAATATAAACAACCACTAAGTTATGGCTGATTACTGTCTGTTATGTATCGAAATTATTATATCATTAGTATTATGTCTTCGAAAATTAACTTAAAATTAACAAATCCAGTACTGCAAGATTTATCATAGAAAGCATAATGTAACATAATGTTGTATTTTACATCCAATGACGAAAGAAAATAGGTCAAAATCAAAATCACAGTTGTATTTTATATCCTTATAATCTTACATAAACCTCGTTATAACTGCGATGGATGTGAGCAAATGGTACAAAAAGAACTTTAGCAAATGTGGCTACACATCCATTCAGGTCAGGTATTTTTTGAGAAGATTTTCTCTGACATACAATTTCTGAAATTTTCTTCTGGGAGTTTTAACCATGACAAATAAATAAATTTGAACAAACTATATAATAATTTTAATTTTCTATGATTTTATAAATTGCAATGCCAATCACACTTGCATACATAAAATTTAAATGCAAATACTAATAAGTACATTGCTTGTTAGCCGATTTTGCAAAATAAAATGGATCAGAGGAAAACAACAGACTCGGTTTAATTTTTTCAGAAGAAAGAAAAAATATTTTAATCAAATATTTTAATCTTGATTTATAACCACAATTAGTGTACATTTGATAATAACCTCTGACAATTACCTCAGACAATCATTTTATGAAAAGTCATGTGACATATCAGACAAAATGAATAACTAGTACATATAACCAGTTTTACAGTTATTATTCTAACTCCTTATATAAAATCAATCAGACATTTGATAGTATATAAAATGTTTAAGTTTCTCAATTTATTAATAAGAATAACATAGTAATGTTGAGCCTTTTCCGACTTAGTGCATCTGGGCACTTTTACTCTTTGATAGCAGGGGAGTTTTTGCAGAGTCCCACCCATCTCACTCACTAATTTAAGTATTCCTCATAATCTTCGTGATTATTCAATGACTGATCTAAGATCTGCGTACCGCCCCGTGCGGTTAGTGTAGGACAGCCTTTCGGTTTTGCGCTTATAGCTTCATAGCTCTGTCCGGTATGTTTTTTTTGACTCGATCTATTTTAAGGTCTCTTAGCATGTCATTCGTGCGGATGTACCATGGTACTTTGAAGAGCCTTCGGAGAGCCTGACTTTGAGCAAAATTATCGTATCCTTCAGATTATCGTAGCTTCAGAGCTCTGTCCCTTATGTATTTTTTGACCGGATCTATTTTAAGGTATCTTAGCATGTCATTTGTGCGGATGTACCAAGGCATTTTCAAGAGCCATCGAAGAGCCTGACTTTGAGCAACTTGTAGGTTCTGGATAGTAGAGTCGGCAGCTATGCGCGACACACCCATAAAGTAGTGCTGGTCTGATTATAGTAAACTGATTTCTGCAAGCTCATAATTATGTGAAACTAATTTAAAAAAAACTATAAATTAATATAATAATATTGAAATCATGACTTCGAAGATCTTAACATCTAAAAGTCGGCATACCATATAAGTGTGGGTTTTTTCGATATGGCCCTTCTAGCTTAACTGTCATTAGTTGCTCCTTATGACTATGTATTGATAAGTGCAAATATTCTTAAATTTACTAATTGTTATAAACTCAAATAGATGAATAAAGTGAAAGACTTTTGAGTTATAGCTTAGAACACTAGGGAACTGGTTTCTAAGATTTCTATCCACTTTTAAAGATGGATATATCTTTTAGGAAGGTGATAAAATGGTAAAGTATTTTTCTTAATATGTATATATAGCTTATAAGTTAATACATCATTCAGGTATTAGTGGCATAATTTTTATAAAACTAATAAAATTTTTTTACATTTAAAATGAAAACCTATTAAAAATTTCTCAGTTCTTCAGTTGATAAAATAATTCTAATTTTTATGTTCTATAAGAAATAGAAAAGGGAGTAGTAATAAAGAAATTTTCAAATCATGGTCTGATCGGACATTGGTAATATTCATCTTCATCAGTATTTTGAAAGATCGATTGTCCCTATACAATTTTTTGGACTGCAAGTGTCAAGCATTGACCGTTGTCAAATTAAAACCGTGGATTCATGTGTTAACACACAAAGCCAATGCGCATTTTATGTGCATAACACTGGATTTACACGAGAGTTTTGTTTGTAATTTTAGCTGTCAATTGTTGTTGCTTTCAATGCAAAATGAAAATATTTGACAGTTAAAATTAAAAGCAAAATTCTGGTGTGAATCGAGTATTATGCAAATTAATAGCTTTATCAATTTTTGTTGTCTATTTATAGTTTTAAAACTAACGCATAAAGTGTTGTTTCTATAAATTTAAGTACTATTGTTTGTAGAAATCTCAAAAATTATTTAAAGTAAAAATGTTCTAAAAATTTTAAGATATGTTTTTATTGCAGTTACAGATCTCAATTTAATGCATTCAGTTTCTATATTGCTATTTATTTATATAATATTTAAGTTTATTCACCCTTTTAACTATTTATAATTTAAGTTTAGTTTAGTATATATAATATTATTTAATATTTCCTTTCCTTATATTAAAAGGTTTTTAATAGTATTTAATAACTGCTATGATAAATATTAAAATAAAAATATATTTTTAATTTCTTACAGACTATCAGCACATCCATTTATTTTTTAAATATATTGAGACCGAAGTATATATTTTTTCATTTATCGGTGATAAAGAGCCGTAAATATGGCTGAAGCCCATTCAGCTGTAGCCTTTTCGTTTGCAATTACTCACGAAGGGTTTGACATAAATTATGATCAGGAAGTATTAAATCTTGTCTGGAACTCTGGCGTGCGATCGTGGAAAAAACGTTTAGCTCGTGCGAGAGTAAGTCTTTCTAATATTATTATTTTAAAACTTAGTTTGCTTAATTAAATATTCTTTTCTTTTTAGAATGGTGTGCGTAATGGTGTTTACCCAGCTCACATACAAAGTTTGTGGCTCATATCGGCTATTGCCATAGGTTTACATTTTAGCGGGTATCAAGTACCTTTTAATTTAGTCAATAGGATCCTAGTGTATTTTCCAACAAATACAATTAATTGGCAGGTGATGGCCTGTTTTTGTGCATCACTTATTGTATGGCTATCGATTTGCTATACGATGAGATACACACTAAAGCTTTTGCTTATGTATAAAGGTTGGATGTATGAATCTCGAGCGCCGGGTAGTAAAATATCTATAACCACTATGGTTTGGACTGGCGTTGTTAAAGTGCTTTCGAGTTGGAATACGCCTGGATTATATAGTTTTCAAGGGTCGTTGCCACGTTTACCACTTCCGTCAGTGCATAATACTATGCAACGTTATCTGCGTTCGGTTCGACCATTATTGGACGATGACAACTACAAACGTATGGAAGGTTTGGCAAAGGAATTTGAGCAAACAATTGGAAAAAAATTGCAATGGTATCTTGTGCTTAAAAGCTGGTGGTCAACAAATTACGTATCCGATTGGTGGGAGGAGTACGTATACTTGCGAGGACGTGGTCCATTGATGATCAACAGCAACTTTTACGGCACCGATGCTATTTTCATGAATTTAACTAATAATCAAGCAGCACGAGCAGCAAATGTGGTGTCATTGTTATTGGGCTTTAGACGCTCTATTGAACGTCAAGAACTACAACCGGTAAGCTTTTCTAAAGAATTGCAAATTAAAGAAACACACATTAATTTACTTTTATTACTAGATTATGATTCAAGGAATGATTCCACTCTGTTCCTGGCAATATGAGCGTACATTTAATACGGCACGTGTACCTGGATTGGAAACTGATCGTATCGTTCACTATAAAGACTCTAATCATATTGTCGTACTACACAAAGGCTGTTATTACAAAGTATTGATATATTATAAAGGTCGTTCTCTTCGGCCATGTGAAATTCAAGTGTATGTATAATATAAAAAGTACGTTTATAAATTAATCTTATTGTGTTACTTATTACAGCCAAATGGAAGAAATACTCAATTCTAAGGCGGAACCCCTACCAGGTGAAGAGAATTTAGCTGCTTTAACGGCATGGAATCGGTCAAAATGGGCTGAAGTGCGTAACTCTCATTTTTCACGTGGAGTCAATCGTGTATCTTTGAACACTGTCGAGTCGGCAGCTTTCGTTCTATCCTTGGATACTATACCATATGAATTTGATTTGGCACAACCAGATCTGCTCGATAAATTTGGTAAAACTTTATTACATGGAAACGGATATAATCGCTGGTTTGATAAGAGTTTCACTGTCTGTGTCGGTTCCAATGGCCGCGTGGGTTTCAATGCAGAACACACTTGGTAAGTAAATTTTTATTTAATGTTTTGTTTTTGGAAGAAGCCAATCAAATTGTTCTTCACCTGCCTTAAATTGTTGAACCCATTTTTGTATAAGCAAATGTGGCATATTTTTTCATTTTGAACTATTAAAAGGGCCGATGCAGCTGTTGGTGCACATATGTGGGAAAACCTCATAATGGACGACTTATTAACTGATGGGTAAAATATTTTCTTAATTTACCAATTTTTGGTATATGGCGTTACTACACTTCAAAAAATTTACAAATCAACGTTGGTGTTCAGATTCTTTTTGGTTTTTTAATTTAATACATGTTTTTAGTTTATTTCGTTTGGTTTTTCAATTTTAAGACAAAGAAAAAATTAAACGAAATTGTCCTTTAACCTCTAAAATAACGTTTTTTGTTATTAAAATTTTAGGGCAGATGCACCGGTTATGGGTCATGTTTGGGAATATATATTTGGTGATGATATTGAAGGGTAATTTTAAATGAATTACTGAATTAACAAACAATATTTTAATCATTGCACTGTGAAAATATTTTGGTTTCGTTTTATACTAATAACATTTTAACAAACATTTTAACGAAAAGTAATACTATTCAAAAATAGATCTTTTCAAAAACCTAACAAAACATTTTTGTATATAATAAACCATTCATAAAAATGTGTGTAGTACTTGAACATTATATATGTGTGTATAGAAACTCAATTTTTAGAATTGATGAAACTCAATTCTATTATCAATTATATACCCTGCAAAAATTTCATAGGTGTTTCAAAGTTTTAAACTTAAATCTCTGGTAATATATTTATCTTCCCTTAAATACGTCAAATATTTTATAAACCCGAGTTATCCGCTATCAGGTGATTAACTATTTACCATAAAAACTACCTTTATAACTGAGAGACAGCAATTTTAAATATTTGGAGAACTACAATAGCTTTAACAAAATAAATAGTTTCAATAAAAAATTGCTTCTTTAAAGGAGGAAGAAGTTCGACGAAACAACAACCATATCTAGTCAATAAATTCGCCAGGAAAATATTCACATGTATACTTGAATTATCAAGCAATTTATATAATCCGGGACAGCAGCTTAAATGATCGTTAATCAAAATTGGTTTTATTTTATATACTCTATTTATTTCTAGCATAACATACAAATTAGGAATATGTAGTCTGCCACAATGCCACAAATCCAATTCTCAGTTTACTACTGATAATAAGTGTGAGTTCGAGTGGCATTAGTTAAAGACCTTCTAATGATATAGCTACTGTGCTTGTGGCTATATAATGCATATTTAGTAATATTCAACTATTATTATTAATAATCTTAGTTTTGTGGAAGAATAACGTTCGCTACAGTATTACTATCTAGTCTGTGGTACCGTAAATAGATCGAAATATATAGAATGTTTGAAGAATGTGCTGGTGATATGTAAAAATTAGTCTTATATATGATATATCTATTTTATATAGAAACATTTCTTTATTAGTGCAATAAATCAATGATAAATCTCACTGAATTATGTACATCTAATTTAATTCATAGTGAAACTAGTCCTTGTTTAAAATTTAAATCTAAGATAATGGCATCAATTTATATTTCTTTTAAAGACATAACAATAGCAATGAAAGGTAGCAATTAGCAATTCCAGTGTTCCATATCCATAAATCTGATCTCTTTATCATCTTTATGCGGTGCCATTGTTAATTTTTATAGTCTTAAAGGATTGTGGGAAGAAACACTTGAAGATTGCAAAAAATTTAAGTACAATAATCAGTTAATGGCTGTTTACACTTACAACTTCATTAAATCATAGTTGCAATAGTGTCTAAGAAATATAATTTCACTATAAAAAACTGTAAAGAACTTTTCATATCGCATTGAAAACAATCTATTTAAGAAGCTATGTTAATTTCAATTTTCAAGTGTAATGTCAATTGTACGAATTTACCTGTTTCAAAAAAACCCCCTTAACATGCTTATTAGATTCAACGAAGCAAAATTTATGTAAACGATGGATCGCAACACTCAACGCTTCATTTGATCGACTAATCAAAGTTCCATTCTGTCCGTATAGTCAAGGAACAGTGTGAAATATTAACTAACCGAGTGCAAATATCACTTTTGGAACCAAACTAATATTATTCCTGTGGAGCTTTGTTCAAAGCTTTAAATATCGTAATAGAAAAAACTGTTGGTTATTGCAGATTTGCCACAACCCGAGGATTCGCGATTTACCATGACAACATTTCGAATAAAGACGTTATTTCAAAACCTCCATCCTTCGATTGAACTTGTCTTGTCAAAATAAGACAGTACCGAAACAAAAGTTTAAAAATTTGTGAAAGCATATTTTCACAGGAATCCAGGAGATTGCTGACCTTAATCTATATACACTACCATTAAAAGTTAGGTATAGCAGAGTATTACAGCCATCACCTTCAGGAATGTCCAAAATTTTTTTTAATGGCGATATTAATATTATTTGCACAAATTCTTCATCTCCACACTGTGTCTACGCAAGATCTGATGACATGATATTATTGCTTTTAAGCTGTTTCAGACTGAAAGCGATGAATTATTATGGAGCAGTCTTTAGAGTGGCGATAACCATTATTTCTTCCCTCCTACATATCGGTAGATTTATGAAAGAATGACAAAAATAATTCACATGACATTTTGCAGTGATTCTAATAGTTTATAAAGTACTCGTAAAGCCGCCAAATGTTTGTTGGTTTAATCAATTTTGGTTGATTTAAGTCTTAAGTAGTAGCTGTTGTTGTTATTCAGCTTAGTTAAGGATTCAAATGAGGTTCTTTTAATAGCATTATACAATTATGACTATGTCCTTGAAGTGTTGTTATTGTAATAAGATTTTAATGGAAGTGGAGAGCAATACTTCGAATAGTTCGGGTAGACTCGACCATTTCCGGACTTCTTTATCATTTAATTTCAATTTTAACTTCAAAAGTTGAAAAACTTCAACCACAAATTCTGTGTCATATTCTTATAACACATATATATATTTTATACATATTTATATTAACGCGAACTTCTACCAAACCTTGAATAGTGTCATCTTATAATCATAACTCCCAAATAAATAAAGGGTAATTTTTAAAAAAAATATAAAATAATCAATACAATTGCATTAAACAATTAATGTGTTTCTATTAAAATTTAATTAATTTTACTAATAAAATCTGGTGCAATGTTAAAATATTAAAAAAGCGTTTAAAATTGCGATTTATATGTAAGTGTGCAAATTTTAGATATGATGAGACTGGCAATACGAAAGGAATACCAGAATTTCAACCGCCTTCTCCAACTCGCTTAAAGTGGGAACTCACACCTTGTTTGCCACAAATCGATGAGGCAACCATTGATGCTAGCAAATTAATTAATGTAAGTGCTCTTCATTTATTTTTTTTAATGGTTTCTATTCTGACTACTACTTGTTTTTAAAATTCACAGGACGTAGATCTGCGGATCTTAGTGCATACTCAGTACGGTAAGGGCTTTATGAAGAAGTGTAGGTTATCACCTGATGCCTACATACAAATGGCTTTGCAACTTGCTTATTATCGTGATGCTGGACGTTTCTCACTCACTTATGAAGCCTCGATGACACGATTATTCCGTGAGGGTCGTACAGAGACAGTTCGACCATGTACGATAGAATCATCAGCTTGGGTTAAAGCGATGGAGAACAGCAGCACTTCAGTAATTAATTCTAAATTTAAATCAGAGATCATAGTTTAACATTTAAAACAAACTTTCTCTTTTCAGAATACAGAACGTGTTGAACTCATTAGAAAAGCATGTGAGCGTCATCAATTAGGTTATCAAGATGCAATGTGTGGACAAGGCATTGACAGACATCTATTTTGCTTGTACGTGGTGTCCAAGTATTTGGAAGTCGATTCACCTTTCCTCAATGAAGTTCTTAGTGAACCCTGGAGGCTGTCTACAAGTCAAACACCTCATGGACAGACACCAAAAATGGATTTGAAGAAGCATCCAAACTGCATCAGTTCAGGAGGTGGTTTTGGACCTGTCGCAGATGATGGCTACGGTGTATCATATATAATTGCTGGAGAAAATTTAATATTCTTCCATATATCAGCAAAAAAAGCGTGTAAACTCACTGTAAGGTTTTATAATAATAATTCTCATGAATTAAGATTTATTAAATTAAAAAAAATAAATTACTTTTTAGGACGTACATCGTTTTGCTGATAATATTTGCAAGGCTCTTGCTGACATTCGAACTATGTTTGAGGAATATCTAAAGGACCAGCCGGCCAAAAAGATAACGAACGGCACAACATAGTGCTGTGGAGAAGCATTTTTTATTAGAGATTTTATGTATAAGTTTTTTAGTTGAATTTTTAATTAAGTTACATTTTTGTTTTAACTTGATGAGTGCATTACTGAAATGCATGAAAAACCAAGAAAAAACTTAGCATATCGTGAGTGTGAATAGTCCTTTTAAGTATTCTTCCATTTATGTTGTGATTAGTTTTATATTGTATATCCTACAATTTATAATATATACTTCATTTGCTTTATAATTCATTGTTGTTTGTAGTATTTTTAGACAAGAATTTTTATCAATTTCGCTTTGTATTGTTTTATATAAAAATTCACACAAATCAATGCAATTATTTGTTTCTAAGAAAGATTGTTATATTAGTTTTATTAGAGAATAATAACTCTTTAAATATGTAATGTATATATATGTATATGTATTTATATATATACTGTATTCTATTGTACTTTAATTTCTCATTTTAGTGAAAATTGTAATATTCTTTCAGAATTAAGTTAGTTAATACAGAAGTTAAAATAAAAATAAAAGCAATTAATAAAATAAATAATAAAATGTTGTTTTTAAAAAAGTTAATCATTACATTTATCTATCAGTAATAGTCTTCATAGGAAGGATGGATTTTTAGGTATTAATTCCAAGAACTAATTATGCCATACTTGATAGAATGAACTCCAATCATCTACTAATGGTAAATATATATTTTTGAAGCAATAGCTTAAAAATTTGGAATTTCATGAATTTTGTAATATTTAATTTAATTTATTTATTTAAATATAAATAAATTGTTTAGAGTGGCTGCGTAAAATAATGCAGCTAAACTGTTCTGTACAATTCTTTGAATTTGATTTCTGATTTCATTTTAAAAGGATTAAGATTTATTTTTAAGAATCAAATTATCCATACAAGATTATCTTTACTGAGAGTTCGCATGTGTTTACAAATTACTTAGCATACGATAACATCTACCTGACACGAAAACATATTTGATCTATAATTTATTAAGACACATACAATATTTACAACACTTTTATTATAACTGATGAGCAAACTTTTAATACAACAAGAATTCATTGTGCACATAAAACTCATAAAATTTATAAATAAAATAATGTGGAATTATAAAAGTTTACATACATAGTTGAACTCATATATTCTTAGTTTGTACCTTATGGTGTTTGCCACGTGTTGGAGTGCAAAAAACAAATAGTTTTGTTTTACAGATTTTAAATGATTTAATATTAACATGACTTATTATAAATAAGGATAATTTGCCTTCATTAATTAAGTTATAAAATGTCGGTTTGGGTTTTACTTGGGAATTATATTGTTCACGCAGCGATTGGATTTGCATGTATAGTAACTCCATTAATCTTTTTTTCAATGTGTGGACGATAGTTTTTAGGATTCACAGGAAGTTTTTCCAATTCATCTAATGCATCAAAACCATCAATTACTCTGAAAAAGGTACATATTTATTTTATGAGTAATGTTTATATTACAATATAATGTTGTGCATTACCTGCCAAATAATGTGTATTTGAGATCTAAATTTGGTTGAGCCGCATAAGTTATAAAAAATTGACTTGCGTTTGCATTTGGACCATTATTTGCCATCGACACCATACCTCGATCTGAGTGCTAAAATGTTATATTTATTTTGGTACTATTTTCGTTTACCAAAATTGCGATCAACGTACCTTCAATGATTCTTTAAATTCGTCTTCAAATTTTTCACCCCAAATAGACTGTCCATTTTTGCCAGTATTTGTGGGATCTCCAGTTTGAACGATGAAGCCTTTGATGTTTCTAATAAATGCACAACCATTATAATAATCACTGGCGCATAGTGCCAAGAAGTTCTCACAAGCCTTCGGACAATCCTCACAAAACAATTCGAGTTTTATATCGCCAACGTCAGTATGTAATGTAACAGACTAAAATTAAATGCTAATGTATAATTTAATGTTTTTATGATTATGTTTTCAAATAAATCTTACCATCGTATGCAAATTATAAATTATTATTATTTATTTATAACAAAACTGGAACATAATCAAAAAGTAGCCGGCACCATCTGGAACAGTTTGAAAAACATTGTAAATAAGTGTTGCCACATGGTTCGACTTTATAAATATTTTTAAAATTGACTGAAATAACTGCTTTGCTCTAATGTACATGCAAAAATAATTTTGTTTTGTTTGTAAATATATAAAAATCATAATTAAAGTATGAAAAAAAAAGACATTGTTTATTAACAATGTCAAAAAATTTTTATTAAAACTTTCTCTAAACAGTATTCTGCTAAAAGACTGACGAACGAAAATTTGTTTTTATGGCTGAATTAATTGCTGTGCGTGAAGTCAACGTAGAAAACGTGCATCTTAAAACAACAAAAAATTCATTAGTTGTGTTAACTTCTGGTTATTACAAGTAATCCGGCGTTTACATTGTGAGATTAAAAGCAGATTAAACCAATAATCGAGATAACAGTTCCAAATCTGTTGCTTAATCTCAGATTTTCCATATATAAGTTAATCTCCTTTTGGTCGAGATTAATTTTTTATTTCCTTAGAAATGGTAATTATTTTTCTGTGTAACTTTGCACATGGCTTAACATCGTAGCTTTTTTTACGATCTTAGAGGAATTGGAAAAGAAATGTCAAAATCTATTCAAAACAAACATTGAAAATGCCGAAGTGAGTTAATTTTTAATACATTTGTTTAATAATAGTTTTGTACATAATTAATTAATTAATTTTGTACATTAATCTCGACCAAAAAGAGATAAATCTGAGATTAAACAACGAGATTAGTACTTTAATCTTACAATATAAAAGCCGTATAACGTTTAGATTTTAGATAGAATGTCTAACGTTAGCTAGATTTGGGCAACATTTTTCTATTGAGTGCAAATATTATTGCCAAAATATGTTCACGAACTTTGCAACTGTTGTGAGAAATTACGTTATCTTATGTTTTACGGGATTTCATTATGAGTAAAAAATTAAATATAAAAAAGTTTTTAAGATATATTGCATATAAATAAATCATAAAGGCCTAGAATTTTTTAATAGGCGATTTCTTGACAATGAAAAATATAATTGTAGCAAAAGTGACCAAAAAACACAAAAAAAAATAAATTTTGAAAATATATAATTAAACGATATATAATAAGTTTACATATAATTGATGTTGAATGCAATGATAAGCCATCTGATACAATATCTAACGATGATTTTCTATACAATTATTTATTATATAGAAAATATATATTTCTATAAATATATATATATATTTTATCGCATACGTGCAACCCAACCATATTGTATGTTAGAATTAAGTAAATAAAATAATAAAGCGTCAGTCATAAATTACACCTAGACTCGCGTGTTTCACTCAAACAAAACATATTTATTAAAAATAACTTTATTTAAATTACCCAAAACTTATTTTATTTTAAAGTGCTGTTGCTGTTAAGTCATTTTTTTTTTGTTTTAAACAAGTCACGCTGTCTTTATTCAATTAATAATTTTAAGTTCAACATTTTGACTATCTTCAATGGTTATCTTTAATAAATTGTCTTAATGGCCCACAAAAATACTTAAAAATATATATGTATATTTATTTATTTTGTTTACAGGGATGATTATATATTGTAATCACGTTCTTAGCATAATAATTGCGATTATCTTTACTTTCTTTATATTTTTTAAATAACTGTAGTTTCAATAATATTTTAAGGCTCAAATTAATTTTTATTAAGATAGGCATTAATTTTTTTAAGAACATCTCCCTCGAGCGAAAATCTCGAAATAAGATAATAATAATATTTTACGCAATGCTAACGGTATTAGCGGTATATCTATTCCAACAAACTTTGTAACTACCCTAACTACGTTTACTATAATAAATCACATCCCCATAGGGGCTGGACAAGTCTACTACCTTTGCCTTCGCAACTGATAACTGAATCTTCATAAGTAATAGTTTCATAAGTAAAATATATCTATTGGAAAAAAATTGTAATTCTTTTCTATATATATAATTCTTTTAAATATATCTTAACTAATAGCTATAAAATAAAGTTGAATAATTAAAATCTAAAAATAACAAGTACATCGAAATCGTTTCAAAACTTTAGAATTTTTTTAAACAATTAAATAAATGTTAATTTCTTCTTGCCGAGAGTGACTCGTCTTTATGACGAAAAAAAACTAATTAAAAGTTGTGCGGATTTGAATAGCAAAGAAAAGACAAGGACAAAAACTTTTTAATTAATTTATTGAAATTTGGCTGACCAACTTGCCAAGTACTCATTGTCAGTGAACGTAGGCCTGGCACTTGCAGTCCAAACAAATTATATACGAACTATAAACTAAATAAGAAATTCGATTATTTCCTAAGACCACTGATGATGAGTACAATATGAGGCAATACTTGAAACAGCGTTGTATGGTCAGCCAAATTTCAATAAATAAATTTCAATTAAATAAAAAATTTTTGTTTTGTCTTTTCTTTGATTAAATAAATATTTTATCAGTATTTTGGTTATAATTAAACAATGGAAAGCTTAACACTATTTTCACAAATGAAGGCTAAGTCCAATTTGCAAACGTAAAATTGGAGTTGTCATAAGAATGTTTAAAAATGAGAAAGATATATTTTTATAGCATAGCATATAGTATTTAGTATAGCATATACGTGTTATATAGTATAGCATATAACACGTATTTCTCTATTTTATCTAAAAATGGTAAATACTTGAAGATCTGATTTGAACTTAAATTTGCAAAGATTAAGAAAATGGTCGGCTGCATATAGATAACCTATAGATAAGACTCTGCATAAACATTGCTAGATAAAATATCGTCTAGTATAATCTCCTCTTGCTACAATCCTGGTTATGTCATTGCTTACATAACTATTTCGTTAAACACTTCGTTTCAAAAATGAAATGAAATAAAAAAAATTTTTCAAAATTAATACGTTTAATATTAAAATTGAACTGTAAACGTGTCCACATGCAGTTACTTTTAACTTAAATACTTAAAACACGAACTATTCCCTCACAGGAATATTAGCTATAGGCATAGGATAACCAAATACACATAAAAACCACATATTAAAAAATATCGCGACATAGCGAAAAATAAAAAAATCTTCAGCTGCCAATACATCACAACCCAAAATAGGATATATTCCAATTTTAATATTTGAATTCATAACAAAAATTGAAATTAAATAATTAATGTATGTAAGATTTTTTGTATTGAACTGCTCTAACTTCGAGAGGCGATTCGTTTGTTCGAAAAATGGAAGAAATTGTATTGGGGTGACTATTTTCTAAGATACAGAGAGTCAAAGAAATTCCACCCAAAAATGAAGATGCATTTAGTCTCTTTTTCATTTTTATTATTTTGTCTAAGATTTATATATACACTGAGAATATCAAGGACATTAAAAGAAACAAATCTTGCTATTCTTATGCGTAGACATAAAGTAATCAAATTATTTTAATTGAAATCTGAATGGTTAATTTTTTATGGATTTCTAAGTGCCCTATGAAATCACTTTTCATTAAATTAAATTAAATTTTTTACTAAAGTGAATAGAAACTATTAAAGTTTAAAGGAAAATCAATACTCCTCAAAAATTCAATTAAGACAGGAAATTTAATATGATAGGATATGCTGGACTTGGCGTTTAATGATAAGCAAGAATCGCAGCGGAAATCATTTTAAAATAATCACAGTGAGGCACTCAAACTTTATGTTGCACTCGTATCTCCATTAACATCCTGGCAACATCATCAGTTATGGCAAATAAAAAGGATATTAAAGCTGCTTTCGCTCCGATAAAGCACTCATTTACTTGTTTAAAATCTGTTTTTATTGATACTTCGTAATTAATAACGTCGAAGCGAAAGATAAAATGAGCAATAAAGACGAACATTTCACAAATGTATAAAATATGAGATCCTAACTGGGCGTCTTCACTGGTTTAAATTTTGCAAGATTTTTATGTTCGAATGAAAATACATAATATTTTGAAATTTTGTCTCCAAGTAAAAACTTGTATGTGTTAATGAAGAGATGAGAGTCTGCAAAAATTTGGTCAAACTCTAGCCAGTTTTACTCGTAAATAGTACATCATGTTTAATACATCAAACGAGCTATTTGAATTATAATCGACATCAAAAATAATTGAATTAATAATTGAAAGGTTTGTGGATATGTACTTCAGTCCAAATCTGTTTAATTTCTTTCGTCCATGGCGGATACTCGATTTTTCGTTTATCATCACAAAATGTCTCGTATATAAATTTTAATTTAAATAAAATGTAATTTTAATTTTTAATTAACTTATACTATAAGTTGCAAAATTTAACATAACAACAAGTGCAACAAAACCATTTCCAATAGAACATCGATTGGTAACATAAAATATAAGGATATTTGGTTTTTGGTTTTAAATTCAATATAATTTTGACTTACCAATGATTACTTAAATATTTGTATGCCCTATTTTACTAAATACAGTCAAACTTCCATAACTCGAACTTCCATAACTCGAATTTCTCTATAAGTCGAACTAAAAACAGTGCACCAAGAGCACATTACATACAATTCTGGTTCCATAACTCGAATTTCCATAACTCGAATTTTCTATAAGTCGAATTTTCTATAAGCAAAATCGAAATGCGTTTTGCTGTTAGGGGAAGTCCCTTTTTCAAACCAAATCTTTAATTTTCTCCTTCTTATGTGCAAATGCATAGAATTGGCATTTCTTCCATCGAATATGATCTCTAAATTGCAATCACTTGATCAGGGAGTATTTCAAAAATTAAAGTGTAACTATCGTAACAGAATCGTAAAAGAAGCACTTAAGCGTATAGAAGTATGGATTGCACAAATCAAGTAAGTAGTCAAATGAACTTAATTTGTAGTCAATCAAAGTAAGTAGTAAGTAGTCAAACGATAGCACATTGCCTTAAAAAAGCTGGATTTGGTCAATTTTCTACATGAGACGATCAGGATGACATATTCCTCTCATTTTCTTGAATAACATTGATGAAGAGTGT